ATGTAAAGTCTATAAACGGTACCAAATTTGGGCTGTCTGGACCCCCAGGGAACCAAATCCGTTCGTACCAGCAGAATAGGAAGAAAGCGCTTTCTGAATGATTATGGAAAACTGTGATAGAAGATTTGTGGAGTAGGAACCAGACCATGCCTCTCCATGAATAGAGTGGAACACTAGCTCCATCACATCATCTGACTGGTGGTTAATAGGGAATAAAGGACTCCGTCCTAAATGCCAGTGTAAGGAACTACTGTGCAGGGATCCATTTCTCCTTTGCCTCAGATGCATCAGTAAGCCAAAGATTATGGAGACATTCTTCGCCAAGCTCTGATTCCGCCAACCCCGCAACTCTCTGAGAGAAGGCCGAAGTTCTCCTATAGAGTACGTGAAGGTTCACGGGTAGTTATAAGTGGTGGTCTGATGTTACAGCTACCGCATATCCAACCCCCCTTATAGCTGCCCCTGAACCTGCAAGTAAGCATCGACTCATGCAAAGCTCGGCCACTCATATACACTGCCACGAGGCAATCAGCATTCTCGATGCTGAAATCCAAAAGCCTAGGTTGCCGGACTTCAAAACCCTAAACCTCAACCCAAGAATTGAGGATCGAATGGCAAAGGAGGAGAATGAAATGGAATCTGAGACTACCGTGGGTTTTCGGGGGAAGCTCTTCAAGGGTATTCTGCCTTGAAACCCCTAAACCCTAAACCCTAAGGCCCTAAAGCCTATGCCCTAAACCTAAACCCTGAAAAGAGCTTCTACATGTGGATCTGAGTCCTGCAACCTTTTTTAGAAAGATACTCCAACAGGTCTTACCTGGAGGGTAAGAAGGGAAAAGCAAATGGAAACCACTACATCATTCATTCAAGGTCTGTTTTGGATTTAGGGTGTATAGGGTTGAGGGCCGGGCGAATCATAGGACAGCTGAGGATATCCAATGGCGTATGTTGGTCAATAAGTGTAGACATGCCAAGTCCCCTGACCCTCCAAGTAGCCCCACGCTGCAACCTCATGGATGCATGATAGCGACATCCCTTACCCCTCACTTTTAGCTCGCAACATGGCGCGCTTGGATGAAACACCTGGACCCGTATGCAGAACAAGAATCCTTTGACTCCGTGCTATGGACTCTTGACCACTAGTTTACCTTGGGTCCTGCCCCCACCCATTGACAGTCTACAGCAGGGCGTCATATTAACGGCTATATTTGCTTGTCCTTAATCCTTCATCCAACTGTTACTGAGTGGAGCCAGTATCCAAAGTTTACCTACTTCTGGAGCCCAGGTAATGCTCAAAACATATTCTGGATGAGGAGGGGAGGTTGCGCCAGCGCAGAAAAGATTGGGCTTTCAAAAAAGAGGGCTTCTGTTTTGTGGGGATTGTAAGGATTACATGCTCAAAGGGGGTCTGTGAACATCGATTTATGGAAACACATTGATTAGCAGTGCGAGCAGCTGTGCTGACAGCTTTGCGCGCTCGCGAGCATAGACCTCGGTTTTGAAACACACCTGCACCTAAAAGTAGGTATTTTTTTTGGGTTTGTAAAGGGTTGGGTTTAGGGCCCTAATTCCGCTACATCTCCCTAAAGTTCCACGTAGGTACTATTGACAGACGTTAGGGCGCAATGTAGGAATAACTTGCTGTGTAGACCTAGAGCCCCAGGGTACATCGGGGGCCCACGTAGGACCATATCGTACTCCCAAATTCTATACTCCTTCTGACCCGTGCCAAACAGGAACCCTTGCAAATCCACGACGGAGAAACAGAGGTAGTAAATGCCGCGGACAAAGATTTGCGGGGGTGTTCTGATGAGCTTTGGTAACCCCAGCCTCTACACTTCTATCGCCATACGATAACTACAGGATCCTGATTTGGGGGCTAAAGTTACCAAGATAAACAACTCACTCATTCCCCGTTCTGAGCCACAAACGAGTAACTCTATGTCATCACTGAACCCTTCTGGTAAACCCTGCTACCAGCCAGGATCCTAAGTATCTATGCGAGAATCCTTTGGAAAGTCCCATGCTATAATGGCTAGGGTTTAGGGCTTTGGGTTTAGGGTTTAGGGTCCAGGGTGGATGGAGGAAATCTTCATAAATTAGGGGTGTCATTGTGGGGGTCTAAATAATTGGGATTATGGTATATTTGGGTCCATATTCAACGTATCTTGTGGATCCTAAGGCGCAGGATTTCCTCCATCCACCGTTTGCCATGTTCGCAACAACGTGCAAAAGGATACCTTCCCTCGGAACCCCACACATATCCTGCACCCTAAACCCTTCTAAAATATCCGATAGACTTTCCATAATGAGGACCTCGAAATCCATCTCTTGAAGACGATGTAGACCCAAACACGAGCTATCATCCATGCCGACGCGTGAAGGTACATCGATGGTATCTACTTGGGCCCAAAGGGGTTCCTGTACAGCTACTTTCGGGCCTGGGTAGATATTCTATGGCTGCATGGATCGTTGAGCATGCAAGCATCCCAGCTACCCCGTAAGATTTTTTCAAACGCTACTTTCACAAACCAGGCTACAACGCAACATGATTTCCTAAGAACCTCCCAGTACCCTAACTGGGGGTTCTACAGGCCCCTACTAGTGGCACCTAGGCCCGAATAGAGGGCAGTTGCAGCGTCTAGGTACTTACATCCTCGTGTTCTGGGATCCAGACAAATTCCATCTTGATCCCGAGAATGTTGTGTATATATATATACATATACATTTTTGTTTATTTACCCTGTAGCCTAATCCATGCTACTACTGCTACTTCCTAGAATAGAAACCTTCCTCTCTCTCTCTCTCTATGTATATCTACACTGTATAAATACTTAGGGTCCCCTGCAAAAAAGCTTCCTGAGTCCGCGACCCTCAGCGTTGCAACCAGGACGAAGAGCGAGATGAATGTCAAGACAAACCTGGGGACCGGGCTTTTGGGGTTTAAAGAGGGAATGGGGTTAGGGTTTAGGGTTTAAGGTATTGTGTACGGTTTAGGGAATAGGGTTTGGGGAGGAATTGGAGTATTGAAAGAGATCCTGCGGGTATAAGGGACGAATCAGGAAACCATTTGCGCCTCTTGAGGCGTCATCTTGTGACCACGTTCCTGAAAGAGCACTCATGACGATGACCACTGGAAACCTGTCGTAACTCCAGCCTCAATTCTGTGAAAGAATTCTTGCGGCTTTGTGGCGAGGCCATGTCCATGTGCTTTTACGTGCCGCGAATCTTGATTTTCATTGAGCTTTACTCGTTTTTGATCGGATTCGAATTAGATGTGTTTTGACTAGGTTTTACTTGGTATTCATCACTTTAATGAGATGTTCAATGATATTAACTAAATTGTAGTTGATGTGAATTAGCTTGAAAGGCCAGGCCTTTGAAGAAAAAGGCAGAGCTGCGTTAGCAAGGACCCAACTTTTCCTATGCCCTTCGAAACTCAACTAAACTGAACTACTCATGTTCCTTCCCTCTCCCCTATCATGGACCCTGCCCTTCTTATTCTCTTCAAGATACTGCCCTTTCTTCCCCTTTTGCAGCCGAAGGAGTTGCCTTCCCTTATTGATTTTAATAAGAGCCACAGGATCCCCCAGACCCCCCAATTCGTTTTGACGACCTTCTACCATAGAAGCCCCTTTTTTTTGTCGGGGCGCCCCACACTCATCCGGATACACAATGTCAATACATGTGTGTCATGGGCTTTACATACAGGGAGCTCCACCACGGCCAATTCCCCATTTCCGAAATGTCTGTATGATTTGGGGGATTCGCAGCATGAGGGGCACCTTTCTGGGGGTGCCTATGATAAGGACTATAGAATATTGGGGTCTATATTGGGTCCCCCCTATTTTGGGGAACCTCCCATGTCTCAAGCACTGCCAATTACTGCAAGCAGATTTCAAGCAGACTGCGGGCAGGCAAGCGGTGAATGGATTGTCTGCAGTGGTAACTAAAGCATTTTATGCTACGAGGCTCCTAGTAATCCTAGTAGGTGCTGCGTACAGAATTTGGGCACAGCATTGGCAGCATTGGTCTTATTTGTAGACTTAGGGCCATGTATGCCCTACATAACCCTAGGTGCCATTCATGTGCTATTGTCGTTCTCGTTTGATTCTGCACTAGATACCCAATGGCCCACCATTGGTATGTTTACAGACTTTGGGCACAATTCAGGCATCAATTTATACTGGCAGCCCCACTGATCTTCAACGACCAAAAACTAGACTGGCGCTACGGTTCCCAGACATTGCTGCGTCCTGGACTGATGCGCAACCTAATGAGTTCCAGCACTAATCGTGTCGAAGCAAATGAAATCAGCAATGCCAACGACAACGAAAGAACAAACGAGGGACTACCTTGGTCCTGGCCTTTTTTAATACTGGTTTGATACCACTCCAAAGGGGTCCCTGTAGCTCTATACAAAATACCTGGGCTTTAAGGTAAGTATATGGGAACCCCTTTGGGCCGTAAATATGTAGACCTTTGGGTCTGTCTTTTCCACAAGTAAAATGTGCTCGCAGTCAAGACCTTCCCTGGGGCTCCAAGTTGGTAAATGTGCCTACTTCGGGCCGTACAGTCTTTGAATGGTACCTACTTTGGGCGTTTGGGAAGCCCAGGGTTTTGCAGAGAAACCTGGCTTGTGAGGTACAGTATGATGTGGGAATTTCCACTTGGGGTGCTTTGTGGGGGTGGGTACCTCTGAGACCTAGGGCACGTGCATTTTTGGACTTGGACATTGCGGAGTGTTGCAAGGCAGCTGTGAGCTTGAGCTGGGCAAACTAAAATAGTGCAAAATCCTGAGTTAAGGCCTTCCTGGGTAGATTCCCAACTGTAACTACAAGTGGGGGTGAGCTCCTTTGAGCTAGGGACCACTTGCCCGGCTTGACACATCAAGAGCCTCTTGGTTCTGTATGGCTATGTACCACATGCCAAAATAAGTACTATATTTTGGGCCTCCTATTGGTGCAAAATGTCTTCCATCCACGGTGATTCAGAGCGGCAGAACGGCAAGGTCAATGTAGCTTGTGTTCACAAAGTGCATCAACCTGCCAAGGGGGGGTTCAGGTTTTGTTGGGCTGATAGTACTGTATTAGCCAAACCCAGTACCAATATCATGTTGACGTCTGTTTGAGGCAACCTGTACAATAAACATTGGCAGAAGTTGAGGCCCCCACATTCTACGTCATTGAAGGATGTGGGTGTTATCGCCCTGTCTGCAGCGATATCGGTCGGAGCATTGCTAAGAGTATAAACTCAAAGTTCAACCGACCCTGTCCCCAGGCAAGGTAACCGCAAATGAATGACCCCAAACTTCCTCTACAAAACAAGAAACGGTAGACATACAGAAGCAGTGTAAACAGGTCTCCCTTCACCACACACCCCTAAGCCCCTAAACCCTACACCCTAAACCCTAGACATTAAGCCCTAAGCCCCGAACCCCACACCGGCCTCCAAATTTGCAAGAACCAATAGATGCAGGTGAAGACCAGCCAGGCGGAGCAGCTCACCTGTCAATAATGCAGAATCAACTGCAAGATAACACAAGAGATGACTGGGCAACAGGGGAATATATCATAGATGGGTTTATTTTCCTTTTACCTAGATCCGTTTACAGCCCAGCAGATGCGGCAGCAGAAGCAGCAGGACCACACAACCGCCATTGCCACCGAAAAAAACGAATGTCGAGTGCTTGCAAAAAAAATTAAGACAACCCCTCGATCCCCGAACATCAAATATTCCAAATGTATGCAGTATACCAAAAAATCTTGCGGAGATTTGACGATGTCAGTATCAGGGGAGTGGATTACTCGGTTATACGGAGCGGCTGTATTGATAAGCAGATAAGCACAGCGACAGTGCGTGAAATCGAAAACCCAGGGCTTCGGGGTTTGGGGTCTCGAGATGAAGGTTTTGGGTGTACTGTCTTGGGGTTTATGAAGCAAGCGTTCAGCATAGCGACCACTCTTCCTACAATCGCTGGGTTGAAAGCCTGCGCACCACAACTTCCAGGTTCTGCAGTCAACCCTCTCACAACCTTTCTGAAAGTTTACATAAACAGGGACCCGAGTACAGCTCCCAAGAGACTATCAGTCTCGTTATGCAGACTCCTTTGAAATATAGGCACCTGATTTTGAAAATCCAAAAAGCAATCCTTATAAATCACCAGATAATCGCAGTTTCCATGTAATTTTCCATTTCTTGTCCATTGGGTTCCTGGGGAGTAATATCTCTAATGATTCTAATGCTTAGACCCGACTCCATAAAACCTGAACCCCAAATCCTAATCCGTAAACCCGAAACCCTAATCTCAAAGCCCAACACCCTGAACCCCCAAACCCTTCCGAACCCTGTCCTTCGCGAGTCGAAGCGGTAGGAAGTCCAATGGCAACTTGTAATCTTCAGTGTCGTCCCCGCCTTAAGGTTGAGAGTCCAGGGTTGATCCATTGAAGGTGGGGGAGAAGCGCAGGGTGTGGGACGCAATAGCTTGGGAAGTTTAGGGCTTTTTTTGGTTTGATAAGGATGCAAGGGTAGGTTTCAGGCATCGAAAACATTTGAACTGTTATTCCTCTATAGGAATTATAAAGACCAATCAAAAATCAACAGCTATCCTCGGAAGATGTCCTTCGCGGCTGAGCCAATTACGTCAAGTATTTGAGATGCTTGACGTGTTCTGATTTCAACGGGACTGCTTCAAATCCATTGTGGAGCTGCTTTTTAACTGCACGTGTAAGTCAGCTTATGGGCACGGTTGGCGAGTTTCACCACCGATCAAAAACTACTACCATTGCAGCAGCTCCCTTCGTTGCACGCTGACTCAACGCACTGGGAGCGGATGAGTGTTTTTCGCGAAGACGAGCCCAAAGCACGTAGTCGCAGGGAAATCTGCCGTACAATTCAGCTCCTTGCCTCTTCTTTTGCAGCACAAGAACACAGCCTCTGTGCTGCTAACTGATCCACGAACAGACACTCACCGCATCGCAACTGTGATCCGAATCAGTGCACCGTCGATGGCTGGGAAGAAACGCCAAATCTAGGTTGTTGCAACGAGACCTTGGCAAGCGACCACGCTGACAGCAACATTTGTAGAAGACATACAGCATCACCCCGTAGCAAAAGACCAGAACGATTACGCCGAGCAAGTCAAGAGCCGTGAAATCAGGCTTCGTCGGGTTCGTCATGATGCAATCGGATCTATTGACGCTGCTAGGCTTCAGCCAAAATGTGCAATACCGGGCATGACTGCAGCTGATGCGCCGAGGCATATAGTAATCAGGCATTGCAAGCACATGGCAGTGGGCATGCGCTCTCAATTTTCAAAAATTAGGGCAACTGTTGCAGTCTGTCCTGTTGGTCGCGGTTGTCATAGTAGTGGAAGTCGTAAGATGTTGCCAGGCACCATGCCGGAATGTTTGTAGTAAAGCCCTTCGCCCGAATGTCATATTTGGGATTCTGACATCTTGTCAGCAGACCATCTGAATTTACTTGCCCTGCAAGTTCAGCGTTGGATACTCTGGGCTCTTGACTCTTCGAAGAGTGTATGCAGATTACTGCGGGTCTTCCGGAGCTTCTGTTGGGTTTAGGTAAGAAGTTGTCATAACATCTAGATTTCTAGTGGGGATCTGTCTATGGGTCTTCTAGTGGGCGAGTTGGTCTTACGTGCGCCTATCGGGGGTAATTACTTGGAAACAGAAAGGCAGAACCGTGCGCGGAGATGTGCTGAGGTCCATGGACAGAAAAATAAGCAAATACTATCCCTCATAGGCTCATAGCCTGTCGATAGCTGCAGTATATTGCACCCCGAAACCATTTGTGCATTATATCTGGCCCCTTGCGTTAAAAGCTGTGCAATGACTGTACAAACCCCTACATAACATAGTCTCCATGGCGTTCTCCGCTTTCTTTTCCATGTCATTCTCCACTGTACAAATTCTTTCGATCCTTATACCCGAACTCTGGGCCCTGAACCCTTCATAAAGCAGTTGTTTCCATATTCTTTTCCATTTGATTCTCCTGCCAAACTAAAGCCGAGAAGCTCGTCCCCTTGCAGAGAGCGGCAATCTCCAGTCTGGGTCAGGCGCATGCCGATTGAAGGCGTTAGGCTAAGTCGTTTCTGAAAATTCAGGCACCTTTCACGACCCTTGGGATATGCGGAGATGATGAGGGTATTATTGGCTTTAGGGTTGAGGGTTATGAAGGGAACATGGGGACCCTTATTCGGGACAACAATGATGACATCTTGGGAAATGCTCATATTAGGTTTCAGCCGTCACGCTTACTCTCATTGGCATGCTGCAATTCCTCATTGGAGCAACCAAACTACACAAGATCAGTTGTATAATAGAGCTGGAATAGTTACTCAAAACCTACGAAACGTGCTCAAGCATGCCCAGCGGCGTGCACCAAAGCCTCGTAAAGTAGGTCGGACCTTGCGGGAAACATTTCGGCTGAACTCAACCTGTGGCTTGTTGTTGAGGGCTTCCCACAGCAAAGCTTGTAAACCCTACGCCCCATGAAGGTGCCAAGGGAGCAGTTTTCATTTTGCTTTAGGATTTCTGAGTCTAAGAGGCTGACATAAGGAGAACCCAAGGCTAGGGTGGATGGAAGCAATCCCACACGGCTTCATATGCCCAATATACTGTACTTCCCCTGAGGCTCAAAATCGCCCAATGCAGGTACTATTCATAGACCCTTTTGGCCCATTGCAGATAGTAATTACAGACTAAGAGCCCCAGGGTCCTAGGACTGTGAGGACTTAAGGTAGTAGAAAAATTCCCTCCATGAATAGTATGCTTGGGATACCATCCTCGAACCCCATGAAGCAGCAGTCTTCTCAACGGCCTTGCGCCAACTAGAAACCGTGCGTTCGCAGAAGCAATATCGCAAAGGATCCTCGGTACCTATATAGTAGTAAATCGTGTGTATCTTCTAGGATCTAGCAGTATGGCATGGTCTGGGTCAGTACTGGTATTCCTTGCAAGGTACCGAGGATGCTGCAGATATCTTGTTGAGAGGAATTCAGTCTGACCCTGCCACAGGTGGTAAGTGTTTCGAGGGCATGGCCCCCTTGGCTCCCTGGAATTTCATGGAACTGCACCCTGAAGAAAAAAATGCTCCAGCAGTGTAAGTATGGATGATCAGAAGCTGTGCCCAAGCTTCTCATGAGGCGGTTGGGACGCAAAGCGCACCTTCAATCTTGCGACTGAGGGGCTCCAAAGCAAGAGCAAGCGCCTCGAATGAAGCCTCGAAAGCATGGACAAAGAGGAGAGTTGTCAAGTATTTGGGATGTTGGGATAATACAGGGCACCTCCTAAGGTCCCTGGATTTTCGGTTGCTGATTCTTGAAAAGATGCTAGCAATGTGGCCGAGACTTTAGATGAGCCTAACTCACGCTCGTAGCTCCACGCCTGGCGCCCATTTCGAGCCGTCACGGCTTGGACAACATCCGTAGCTGGTGCTCTACTCATGAGAACTTTCCAAACCATGCACGATCTCTGCATGGTTGCAGTCAACATAAAACTAGCAAAAGCACGCACGACTCAGATCATCGTCAACAACACAATCCGCTTGGCTAAGCAATAACAAGGAAAAGATTACTGAGAGGTAACAGAAGCCTCGAGGTGATACCCGAATCTCGCCCAAACCGCAATAGCAATAGTAGTGATTCTAGAAAGATAGTGGTAATAAGAGTAGTAAGCACCGCAAAAATAGTAGTAAGGATGATAGCAGTCTGAGGACGTGGGTTCAGGTTTAGGGCTATGTTATATATATACATACACACGCCTGTTTATTTATTGCGGAATTTGCTTCTAAATGGTGGGCGCACGGGCTCCCAAAGGATATGGCGATGCAAGCTCCAAACCATATACCCTGAACCCTAAACCCTAAACCCCAAATCCTAAATCCTCATTCCCAAGCCCTGAACCCTAAACCCAAATCCTAAGCCTTGAAGCCTAAGCCCTAAGTCCTAAAGCGCATGCAAAGCAGCACGAAGGCCCCAAAGGATGCCACAGCTTTCCTTTCAGCTCAGCTGCTTGCTTGAAATCTCAGGGGACTTAGTAATAACAAGTAGGTAATGAAGGATTTGTGGTTGGGATCAATTTGGGGGGGACCCCCTCCCCAGCCAGAATAAAAGGTCAGAACAAGAAATTGAGGTCGCCAGATTGAAAGAATGATTGGGACTCTTGGATCTCTATTACCACTGCATAGGAATGTATTGAATCTATTGAGAATCCAGCTTAAATCTGCTATCAGAATAGCTTCCCCACAGAACAATATTTAAATGTAGTCCCTTTTCACCATACGAAAAGCCACCTAATTGTACCTAGTCTTTGGAGCCCAATTCTACCAAGAGCAATTTCTTTAAACATGGTCCCTTTTATAAATCAAGCGACCGGATCAACCCGGAAGGCAACCGTAGGTCATCTGCAGCAACCTTTGGAGCCCTGCCAGAAAACGAGAGAGACAAAGAGAGAGACAGAGAGACGTGTGTGTATGTATATATATGTACATACATACATATATATATGTATATAGTGAGATGCATATTTATAGAGTATACACGCATATATACGTGAGTCAATCTGTACACATACGCACATGTCACGCATACAGATACATTTATAACTACATGTATATGTCTTCACATACTTACAATATCTCTCATTCTAGCTACAGACTGCGGCCAATGCCACTTCCCTCAAGGCAGGAGCACAGGCTAGCCCATCAAACCCAATACCCCTCAATAAAGGAGTCTGCTACAAATGACCCTAAACCCTAAAACCCTAGCACCTGACATGATGTGAGCTACATTCCTTAATTAAGGGGTTTAGAACACCCTGGCTAGATCCCAAAACACCCGCAAGAGCTATGTTGATAAACAAAGGGTTTGGTGTTCAGGGCACTAACCCAAGGAAGAGATTAGAAATAGTACCAGTGCAAGATAGTATGGAGAATCAATATTTAGCAGTTGGCATTTAGCAGCTATTTTGTTTTGACCACTTCCTTGACCTGATTTAGGGATGTTATTCAAAAACCTGAAGTATCCCTTACCCTTGGGGGACCTAGGGATATGCAGGCGGTGTAGATCACTGTTCAAGGGATACTGTTGAGAAACTTTCATTGTGTATCTTCTCTTCGATTCGTCATTCGGCAGGTTTCTCCTGAAGTGGAAGCTCTTCAGGTCGCCATGAAACCTCTGAACAAGAAATGGTGCCACGGCAAATCTAGGGCCAGTATATTAGGGTTTAAGGGTCTTGGGCTTAGGTTCCAGGAGCACCGCTTGGAGCTTGTCATAGTCGAGGGAAATACCTCAAACCCGCCTAAACCCCAAACCCTAAACCCTATAACGGCAATCAAGTCGCTTCTTTATCTCGGGATCAGCTTGGTGTACGCAGAACTTGTCGAAGAAGTACCTCTTCCAGCGATCCTAAACCCTAAACCCGAAACATGTGGCAAATGGGGGATTCTTGTCTGAAACTCTCAGGGTTGGGGCTTGGCAACCCTGAACGTTAAACAGTGTAGGGCTTGCTACGACAGACAGGTCTTCAGGATTTCGAGGTACGCATGACCTTCCAACGAGCATCCTGGATTATGGGATGGAGGGATCTTGAGTTTAGGGTCTATGGTTCTGTGGTTTCAAGTTTAGGGTTTGGAGCTTTGGCATGTCAAGCTTTCTGCTTGTAGGCTAATGGGTAGTTAGAAGGGGGGCCACAAACAGCAGAACTTTGCTTGTGACTGTATTTCTGGCGTTCACGGCCTCTTTTGCTGCCCAGAAATCTGCCGGTTGATCATGGTTTTTTGTTTAGGTTCATAGGGTTAAGGTCAAAGGTCAGTGGACAGCACCACCAGAAAACCCTTGAACCTTAACACCCCCCTACGCAGGCACTGAGGTGGTTCTTCTTAGGGACCGGTGTATGTTTGCACAATATGAGGCCTTACCGCAAAACTGCATTTAGCCCAGAAACCCATCACCTGGAAGCTTTCCGCCCCTCTCATCACCCCGAATGCTGTCCTTTGATCGCCAACTCCACAGAACTTTGATCACGCTGAAGCTCAAGAAAAAACATGTTGGGAACTGGTTTTTGCTTGCAAACCACCATTTGGGGAGGTCGCATTCGTTTGCCCAGTAGGACTCCTGCTTACTTCCTAAGCTCCGGCCTATGCCTGCGTCCCAACGCCACAGGCACGTGATGCCTGGGAAGCCAGATAACTTCAGTTGCGAATGCGGTAGGGTTTAGGTTTTGGGGTTTAGGTTAAAGGCACCGGGCACTTCTGTACAAGATCCAGTCCCCCATTCCTAGAGCCAGCGAAGAATTATCAATATCGATTTGAGGTCTACTTGATGCACCCCCGCCATAATTACACAAGAAATTCGGGACCGTAATATTGGCCATTAATGGGCTTTTGGATAAAGGATTGCTCTACCTGAACCGTCCAATGCTCGCAGGCATGAAAGGGTTCTGGGTAGCGACACCTGAAGCCGCACCAGAAGTCAGGCAACAGTGGAGAATCAAATAGACAAGACCATGGAAAATCGAATGGAGACTAGGAAGCCTTAAGCCCTAAGCCCTCAACGTGGCTTCTAGGCCTGATCGTGAAAGTCCAACATGCGTTAGTACACATACATCCTGAGGCATATGGTGCTTGGGGTCATGCAGGAGTGTTCACGTCTAACGCGGGACATTACAATGGAATCACGTTGGAGTCTACACAGGCGTCTGCAATGGCTGGATCATCCCAACTTGTAACACTCCTTCTTGCGCTGCAATCTTTCCTGCAATATTGTTGCGAGCTGCTGTTGCAAGCATGGGGCATAGTGCTCCCACTCCAAAATGCAAACGCAAAGCCCTCAACCCATAGCACTGAACCCCAAGCCCAGAGCCATAAACCCTCAACTCCAAGTAAACCCTCCCCCCAGAACCCTAAACCCTGAGCCTAAAATCTCAGTCAACCCTCAACCCCCAGCCCCACACCCTCTGCCCCGAACCACACCCTAAGGGTCCAAGTACCTAATAGATGTAGTCGGGATCTGGGCAAGAGCAGGTGTAGTACAGGTTTTGAACAAGAATATGATGATTGCGTACTTGGACCTTCAGGGAAAACCCTAAACCCTAAAACTTTGACCCTATACCCTGAACCTAAACCCTAAACCGAACACCGGGCAAGTTGCCAGAAAGCTAGCCCACAGAGGAAGGCGATGCTGCCGGTGGTCAGAGCCTGGCTTGTACAATGTTGAGAACAGTAATAGGCTGAATATACGGTTTAGGGTTTAGGGTTTAGGGGCTTAGGATTTAGGTGTTTGGGATGTAGGATTTAAGGACTTCGGGTTTTGGATTTAGAGACATAGGTATATAGGGTCAGATGGCGGTATTTTGGGGGTACATAGGATTAACGGAAAGGAAAATGGAAACTACTAGTTAGGGTTTAGGGTTGATAGGGCGCCTTAATGGAGAATCACACTGAAAATCGCAGGGAACATGAAATGGAACCTGGGGTTCGATAGGGGGTTGCACTGGTTCATTCGGGCATTTTGCTAACTCAGACCCTCAAGATTTGGATGCTGCTACAGTCATGTGATAGTACTTACTGTGGGGGGGAGGGGTTAAACATTAGGGTCGGGTTGACAAAGCCCATTTGTGGAGCATGTGACTCTTTCCTAGCACTTTGGTGGGAATATTTCCCTGGTAGTTCCATAAACACAGGGACTCACATATAGACCCCACAATTACATAATCCTTGTAAGGGGGGTGGGTTTGATCTTGGGAAGCCACCCTCCCGGTTGTTAGGGTTTAGGGTGTTTCAAACCCAATGCTTGCAGCTTCATATGTCTAATTAAGGTTCAAGGTCTTAGGGTTGTAGTGATTTAGCGGTTTAGGGTCTTCGGGTTCTAGGGACTTAGAGTTTGAGGCGTTAGTGTTTTAGGGTCTTAAGGCTGTACCTTCGGAGCATACTGGGCTTGGGATTTTGCATGATGCCTGTGCGACTTGGCGGTTGGATGCGTCTGTCACCCTGAGGCTCCATGCAGAATTACCTAAAGACCTAAGGGCACCATGCAGGTACCGTTTTTACGCACTATTTGTAGACTAGACTTTAGGGCCCTATGCAGGTAATGTTCTCGGACTTGGAATTTAGGTGGGCAAAGGTTGGGGAGCCCAGCCCTGTTACTGCCTGCTGGTCGCTGACCTTCCCAGTGCGCAGGCCTCATTGACAATTGGGGCCTTCCCAAACCCCTTAGACCCTAAGCCCCTTACCACCCAAGCCCGAGAACCCTTAAACATGTAAACCCCACACCCCGTTAACCCCTGGAACGCCTAAGTCTCTAGACCCCAAACCCCAAGAAGCAGTACAGACCTTTGGCATACATCATGTGGATTATATGGAGACTGTAGCAGTCCGTTTTGGGGTTTAGGCTTTAGGGTGGATGGGGCCTTGCCTGCAGCCTCAACCCTAAACTCTAAACCTAAATGGTGAGCTCTCCAAAGTCCAGCCTGTACTCCTGATATGGGGATTTGATTCCTTTGGGGAATGCTTTTAGAATTCCTTTAGGTCTACAAAGGGAGCTGTAGAGAAAATCATTTCCCATAGTGGCGATTTTAGGAACAAGAATTTTGATCAACTACCATGTGCTGATGAAATGATATACCTGTCCAGTCCAAGTCCTGTTCCCAGTATTCACGCTCATTACCTCCAAAGAACTCTATGCCATCCAAACTATGAAATAGCTGCGAGCAAGATTCTTTTTTAGATAAGCTCTTTGTATATAAGCCTAACGACAATCATGTCGGAAAAAGTTTATAGTACGCGCTAGCATGCGCGCCTGAAGGCGTAAACTTTACTAGCATAAAGTTTTCTTAGGGATGGAGAGTCAGCTAGCAAGTGAGACAACCACGAGCCAAGGAGCATATGGTACCGAGTTGACTTCCGTCACGTGACGGTTCGGGTTTACCTGAAACAAGTCTGCTTGCAGGGTCAGGGGGACTTAGTATACTTATAACCCTCCAAGCCAGATAGTAACCCCTGCTATCCCCATTAGAAACCTCTCACTTGGTACCCCTTGACCCTCCATAACAAGGTTTAAAGTACCAAGGGTCGTGCAGGACTTTCATATCCACTGTAACTGTATGAGTGGGTAAGACACGTCTGGGCAGAATGTCAGCAGTTAAACCCTCAGCCCTCCCTTAGAAACACCAGGGAGTGCTCCTCTGGGGCTCTGAGCCTCTAAATAAGACCTACAGTGGGCTCTAAAATCCATACATGGTACCTACATGTTGCTATTAGGTTTAAGGGTTTAGAGTCTGGGCCTTAGGCATCTTGGATGGTTGCCGAACAGACTTGCCGCCCCCGGGGCAGTCAGAGCCTCTTAAGTGGATCCACGGGCAGAACAGCAAGGAATGCAATGTGCGTGAGAGCCTCGTGGGTTTACCTACTGGCTCTTCGTAGGAACTATGGGAATATATTATACTCGGATGATATTCCCTTGTTCCCTGCTAAGAACCAGTAAGTTTAGGGTTCATGGAACACGCCTGCATGGCTCTATGCAGCTGAAATGTTGCGTCCGGTCGTCCGCACTTTCTCCAATTAAGTTGCTTTTAAGGAAACAACATTATATGTACTGTGCATATACAATAATCTTAATGCTAAGGGCCCGGAATAAACCCCAGAATACGCTAATCCTTACTATCGGGGCTCGCAAAAAAGGTACCCTAATTTTGGACACTCCCTCCCATACACATACCCACATCATGCTGAACTCTTTCAGGCTCATTGGCAGCAACCAAGTAGTCAAGCCTTCAAAGCCTTTAGTCCCAAACGGTCGCGGACATTCTGCGCCACTTACTGTTCAGGGTTTAGGGCTTAGGCACAACGTCGAAACTGGTTAGTCGTGTTTAGAGTTTGGGGCTTGCGCAAAAGGGAAGGCAGATGGAAAATGAAATGGGTGGTTGTCAAAATTATGGTCCCTTTTTGGGTCCCTATTATAGTACGGCACCTAATATTTAGGGTACCCAAAAGGGGACCATGATTTTGACAACCACCCAAATGGAAGCTACCAGGGGTTGGGGTCGGATTAAGGGATTCAGAAATATTCTGTAAGTCATGGAATAATAGTAACTATGATATTGCAGGAGGACAATCATTAGCCTTCCCTATACCAGAACTTTACAAGGAATTTAGAACCGTAACATTGATAATGTTCATATACAGCGCCATGTAATCACAATTTCCATTCAGTTTTCCATGTTATTTAGATACTCTATTAAATCTATTACTTGACTCTAAGCCCCAATCACGAAAACATTTGTAACTATCTGTATATAACGGCATGTAACCCCAGTTTCCATTCAACGTTCAATGCTCTTTTCCATCAGATGCTCTACTACTGCGGGTAAGAGTATCCCTAGACCCTAAACCCTAATCCCCAAGCGGGCCGAGCTGCTGGTAGGATGCCAGCTGCTCTCAGAGAGGCAGCAGGAATGGCTATGCAGGCGGAACAGAAAAACGCGCCTGCCAGATTGCCTCAAACAGCAAGCGAATGAAGAAATGGAAAAGAAAATGGAAACGACCACTTCGTGCTTGAGGTTAAGGGAATGGCAAAATGGAAGCTACTCTACTATTGGGGGGTCAAGTACCTGGACTACTACTACATTCGTTGCTGACCAGAGGTAATTTATCGCTTAGAACTCTCGGCTTTAGATTTGGAGGTTGTGCTTTATGGCCATGGCTGGAGCGTAGCAGGTTTCGGGTTCGGCTTTCCAGGACAAAGATAGTATTTCTTCATTAAATGGCACTGAGGACTTCGGCATCCAGGAAAAACTGCGAACTAGAGACGCAAGTCAGGTTCCCCCTTGAAAGCACCATGCGTATCTGTGATAACCCGAGAAAGAGCAATCATCTAGAAAATGCACGCATGAAAAAACATCACCCAAACACACCGTGTACACTCCTGCGTAATTCGGCAGTGGCCTTGCGCAGTAAGTCCAAAGCGATTCAGAAATCCTTGGAGGGACGCATGTGACTCCTAACTTTGAACCCTGAATCCTTGAGCCGTTTACTTTGTGCCTGTGCGACTGTGAGCCCGATTTAACCCTTCCAGTAAGGGTCCAAGTACCCAATAAAAATCTACTTGCCTAAAACTTGTACTGCAACGCTTTAATACCCAAATCCTGAAGACCCAAGTATGAGACCCTTGAGGCTACATTATCTATCTATGTGCATATATACATACATGTATATAGATACACATGTATATACATATATACATGTATATATATGTATATATATATATATCTACATACACACCGCTGTAAAAGCCCTGTTCGTATGTCGTTTTCCATTTTCGATTCCATGTGATTCTCCATTTTTGGGGCCTGAACCCCATGTATCCTTTTATGCCCCCATATACTCCCTTCAGGGGACCTCTTGTACCTTAGAGCAAACCAATGGCCAAAGTTGACAGGCTGCTATGGATCCACAGCGCGCAAACCTTAGACAGTCTCCCATCCATCCAGCAGTGACCTCAGGTCAGCAATCTACTGTGGGACAAAATAACAGGAATAGTTGAAATCAGTACTAGAAAATATCGTAAAAATAATAGTGATAGCAAAACTAATAGCTGTATGATAGAAGGGTGTAACTTGTGTGGCTCGGCCGTTGGTTGCATAATGTTTGGTCCAAAATGTTCCAACAGAACTCTGAACCCGAGTATTCTGAAAGCTTACACAGGGCATTGTAGACACAGTCTACCTGTAGTGCAGGCCCTGCGGACACGTCTTTGGGCAGGTGCCCTGAACCCTAAACCCTAAGCCCTAAACCCCTAAACCCAAACCCTAGGCCCTAAACCCTAAACTCTAGACCGCATTGTAGAAGCTTGGGTCAACCTCAGGCGTCGTGGTTTCGAAGTTTCTGAACTGAAAGGTACCCTAGAGTACATGGGGCTATTGACGGATTATTCAGGGCCTTGCTAAAGGCTATATGGCCATCATTGTGAGAAAACTCCCTTTCAGATCCGAAACGCAAGTCAACCCCCCTTTCTACAAAAAAAATCTTACCCCAAGGTCCAAATAAATACAATAAGCATATACTTGCCCAAACCTGTATTTCAAAACCTATGACCTAAAACTCAAGTACCTCATTCTTGGGTACTTGGACCCTGAGGGTTAGGAGGTGTAGAAGCTCGGAACGCTTGAAAGCCTAGGGTTTAGGGTATCATCTCAGGAACCTGTACCGACTCTCATCGGAGGCACTAATAAAGTAGTCGATTTCGGAAACTTCGCGGGACTTGACGAACATCGCCTCTGCCTCCGCGTTGGTTTTTTATTGTTTGTGCATTTCTGGGTTTGAGTGGGCTGAGGGTTTGCTGATAGCTTGCTTCAGTGAAAAGTACTCTTTCACAAGAGAAAGACAGGTGTCACACAGTTTCCAGTTTTCACATGAACCCTAGTTTACATATAGTTTCCATTTCATGTTTTTCTTTTCCATGTGATTTCCAGTATGGGCCAAACTCTACATTATGGATCCTAAGCTCTGAATGCTTTTGCCCTGAACAGGCTGTGCGCTGTCAAGTGCAGTTCCAGGGAACGGCTTCTCATCTAATACGGTGCCACGTGGTAAGGTTCATTTAGGGTTTATACGGTCTAGGGTTAAGGAATATGGGCACTGGTATTTCTTCAATTAATGCCTATAAGGACCTCAGTAACCCTTGCATAGCCCTGGACTTATTCTAGGACCCCCTGTCTTCCAGGGTCATCCACATGACAGTTTTCAGCGGTCTAATCCCACTGTAGGGGTCTCAGAAATACCACACGGTCATACAAGTCCTATACATGAATATACACCAGGTATCCATTGTTTTTCATGTTCCTTCCCGTTGATTCTCCCTCGATGACACCCCAAACCATAAACCCTGTATATTTTTTCGAAGCGATCCAAAGTGTCTATTTTCCGCGTTCTTTTCCATTTTGATCCAGACCTGTCCTCTCCTTCTTCCTCGCTCACAACCTTTCAAAATGGAGGATTGCGCTTCGCGATTTCCAAGGGGAAATATGGGGATTTCTGAAATTAGGTTCAAGGTTTAGGGCTTAGGTGCCTATAACCCTTTAATACTTACATCATCAATGTATTGGGCCCATATTTGGGGTCCCCTACTTCTGGAAACTCCCACCTTCTTTTCATTCGCGCTGCGCACACGTGGCAGGTTGAAACTAAGAAGTATAGAGCAGACCGGGCATATTATGTCCCAAACCCTGAACCCCAAACCGAAACCCTAAACCCGAACCCTAACCTTTTTCCACTGGATTCTGCATTCTTTGGGGTAGTATCCCTTCACCCTTAGTCCCCAAACCCTGGATCATAATGTTGGTCACTAGCTAGGCAACTTCTATTTACCGTGAGCCTCCTATATAGCTTTGTTTTGAGTGGCATATCATAATCCCATACCAACAAACCGTAACAGATCCAAACTGGGTTGCTGTTAAGGAACTTAAATTAAATTGCCATAATATGAGTATCTGGTAAATAGTAGGATCTCCTTGGTACAGTAACCCTAAAACCTAAACTCTATATGCCCTTATTTCAGTAACTTATTTTGGTAATTTCCCCAAATACGGGGACCCCGATATAGACCCTAGTATACTATACTCCTTATTATGGGGATCCCACAAATGGTACCCCCATTTAGATTCCTTAACAGCCACCCTTGAGTTGGCCCGTACTAAGCTGGCTTTGTCCACTGTCAGCGCATGGTCCTGGAGGCTCATTGCCTTGGCTGGGTTTGACATGGCAAGGGTGCCTTAGGGTTTAGGCAGGTTAAGTGTCAGGGGTCTAGGGTTGAAGTTTATAGGTTTAGGGTTTGGGGTTAACTGAGGGTTGATTTTTTTTCGGTTTAGGGTGTAGGGTTAAGGGTTTAGGGTCTGTAAGGGTTTAGGGGGATCTGAACTTAAGGTTTCAGGCTGGAGGGCTTTGGTCCTAGGGCGAAGGTTTCTCAAACTGGGAGTTTCTGAAAATTGTGGGCTCTAGGAACACCCAAGGGATATAAAAGGACTATTTTGAGAAATTCCTAAGTGTCGGGACTTGTGCGGATAATCATGGGATTGTATGGGTTCTTTCCTAGGATTATTAAGACATTGATTGCGCTGCCAGGCCCAAGCATGTAGGTCATGTCAGGTCTTATTTGTTTCCTGTTGCTGGCAGGACAGAAGCCCCTCGCATACCCTTCAAAATGTCAACCGCCTTGTGAAGACACGCCATAACTTGGTGTACAAACCTGGTATATTCTTCTATTGACAGCATGAGGCCATAACAGCCGAACTCCATGTTCAAAATGTCCATTTTCGTATTGGGGATGTGCGGGATTATGTATATGCGGTCATATAGGGGTTTATAGGATATATATATATATATCTTGGTGGCTATATAGGGAATAATGGAAAAGAACATGGAAACTACTACATTAAAGCAGGGTTATATAGAGGCTTTCGGGCTGGAGGATGTGGCATCTGGGCTTCAGCTCCGACGCCGACAAAAACGTAAAGGGCATCTGTACCAACGCCTTAGATATCCCCGTAGCATGGCCCCTAAAAGGTGGCAGATCCTAAACCCGAAACCCTGAGCCGTCCGTTACTGGAGTACAAGACTCCCGCAATACGTTCTAGACCCCACTTTCCATTCCATTCCCGGTTTGCTTGTCCAGTTCATTCTCCATATAAGGTGAGACCGACTCCTTCCAAGCCGCAGCAAGGCTTCTCTGCTCAGCCAAAGCCATTAGACCAGGGTTCAGGGTTTAGGTGTGGATGGAGGACATCGTGCACCGCATTATATACCTTATGCCCTCGAAATTGAAATGCACTAGTAGTGGTTGCTAAGTGGTGCAAGATTTACTCCCTCCATCGTGTATCCTCGCGCAGGTTCGCTTTAGGGAGCTGTGAGCTGCTTAAAAAGTGCAGCTGAAGCAGTCCGCCAAGAAAACTGAAACTCAGCTCCGTAAACCCCACCTGTAACCTCAATGAACCACAGCTGAGGAGAAACCACCCCTTGATTAAGAGGTATAGATCATAAACTGCAGGTAGTTGGGGTTCCAGGTAAACCTGAAGCCCCAAAGCCGGAAGCACATGCAGGTTCCAAGCGCAAATCTGATACACTAAATCGCAGCTACCGAGCCTTGAAGCAGCCCAAGCCCTATGCTCGACTACTATAGAGGCCTAAATCTTCACCGATATCTGTTAGAGGTCTATTTGATGTGAAGTATTACACCCTGAGTATGCCAGGAACCTGGGACCATGATATTGGCAATCATTAGGCACCTACGTTAGGGTTTGGGCTCAAAGTTTGGGTTTTTGCAGTGTGGGGTTCAGATTAATTAAGACCCCCTGCTTGAAATGCGAGCTTAGTTGAATGCGAAGCCCGCAGGGTCAACACCTTCAAATCCTTTTGCCCGTGACCCGAACTCTAAATCCTAAACCCAAAACGTCAAACCCTAAGCCCTACACGCTGTGCCCCCAAAAACTCCAGTCTGATCCAGCAGCTTTCAAGTATCTTCCACACCCGGTTAAGACGTGCCCGATGTGTGTCGCTCGCATCCTAGGCGATAAGCGTTGAGACATGGGAGTTTCTGCAGCTACTAGCAGGAGTTTAGAGTCTGGGCTTTAGGATAAGTGTCCACCTTCTGTAGTGGCAAATATTGCAGTTCCTATCATAAGAGCCCCCCCAAAAAGACACCCGTCCTTCCCGATTCTAGGAAATTCTCACATCTTATCACATCTTGAAGCCTATATGGCAAAACTCACAGGATGCCAAGCCGAAGTCTTTGGTCTCTGCAGGGGTCAGGGCTTAGTTCTTTTGAGTTTAGGGTTTTAGGGTTTAGGGTTCTAGGTAGCAAAGTGGAGATCTCCACAACTTGCTGAGCTTATGATGGCCCTTCCATAAACAGGGAGTTCCTAAAATACCATAATGTCATTCTTCTTGGGGCCCCCGAAATGGAACCCATGTGGCTGGAGCATTATGCATACTCTGACTCTTCTTAGCAAGGTCCCCACTTCTTGTCTGTGCTGACTAGCTCTTTGAGGCAGCAATAGGTTCTCCCATGCTTCCTGCCTATAGGTGGGGGCTTCAAAGGGAAAAAGTTCAGGGTTTAGGGGTTCAGGTGCCGTCTACCCTGATGATACAGGCAGGCTACCCCAAACTAACATGGAACCCCATGTAGACTGTCCTACTGTAGACCCTGGGTAAATGGACTGTAGTCTACTAGGGGTCTCATCTATACTGAAAATCCTACTTGTTTTCCTATATTCCCCTTTATAAAAAGCCTTTACAATCCTTTCTCTCCCCACTCTAACCCTATACTCGAAGGCCCAAATAGTAGTTTCCATTTCACCCCATTAGCCCTAAACCCTAACCCCCAAACCCTAAAACCTTTCCCCTAAGCCCCAATTCCCAGACCGCAATTTACAACAACCACACACCTCACTTGAGCTCAGCCACAAGCTGTCATCCTTGAGGGTAATGGACAGCATCGATCCGGAATTTGAAGCTGAAGGGTAGGGTAGAGTTTAGGGAGTTTAGGGCTCGGGGTTTGGGGCTTAGGGCTCCTAGGGTTCATGGGGCTTTTAGGCTGTATGATGCTCAGGGTACTTGTTGCGGGGCATCCAAACGGACAGGTCCCAAAGAAGGAGCCTCAGAAGGTCTGTCCTATCTGGGAGTGTTGGGGATCTATCTGATTTAGCGCTGGCGTGGCACCTGTTTCAAACACAAAACCAATGTAAACAATGCAAACTCGTCGAAAGGAGACGTCCAAGACACCTATTGAATGCCTTCAACATGTGTCAATTTAGCTTTAGCAACCTGCGACACAAACCTGAGCGCAGAAGAACGCCTACGCGCGCAGGCGAGAAACCCCATACGCGCGGACCCTGGCCTGCGGTACTTGTACACAAGCTCCCACATAGCACGTTTTTTCGCTGCTCATGTTGGGAGGGGGGAAGGACAACCCTAAACACTAAATCCCGATGGGAGCTTGGGTGCCCTGCAAGACAGGTTGCATACTGTTGTTGTCAGGAAAGTAAAACGTAGGCTGGCAATCCCAATTGCCATGTCCCATGCGCAAGCTCCACAGGTTGAGGGTTTAGGGTGTATATAGGGCTTAGCTTGGATTGGGTCATTCTTCTTGCGACTTGGTTTGGTATTCCTTCAGCACATTGACAAAAATCAAAATTGCAACCCAGCACTTATCCAGTAAAGCCTGCGGCCTTCACTGGCTAGTGCCAACTTCCACACACCTGCGCGACCCACTCCTCTGAAAGGATCATAGATGTTCTGTAGGGGCTACTAAGGGGATGCATCCCCCCATTTCAACAAAGCATGAGTAAGGGGCCTTCTTTTGATGTCCAGCGCTTTGTGCGATGCGAGATCTCCTGGAAGTGTCTTAGGCTGTCATCGGTAGCTTGGTAAGGGGCATTTCTGGCACTTGGCGCGGGAGGACTACTATATTGCAACGCCGAAGTCCTAAACCCTAAGACCTAAACCCTAAGACCTAAACCCTAAACCCTGACAATGAATCTAGGCCCTATACCCTACAATGTAGTAGTTTCCATTTTTCCATTCTCCCAATATAACCCCTAATATGACCCCCATATACGCCTTTATTCTCTAGGCAATTAACTAACTCCCTTCCCAAAGGCCCGAAGGAGCTTCCATGGCAAGTCGTTGTCAGTTCGTGGGTGGATTTCTTTGCTGCGTGTAAAGTACCTTATACAACAATTATGCAAGGAGCCTAGGACCATAAGATTGGTACGTATCCCTATAAAACCCTCATATACGCCCAGTGTCCATGTAATTCCCATTTTTGCCATTTGATGGTCCACCACTTCTGTATGTGTAACCTAGGAACAGAACGCTGGAAATCATTTACACTTCACTTCCACAGTACCCCATGAAGCAATACAAAGGGAAGTCACGGTGGCAGGGTAAGATCTATCCAAGATAGAGTAAATTAAGGCCCCTTTAGACATGAAATTGCTATGGCTTTACAGGGAGTATATCTGGAGTATGATCCATGATAATTTAGGCCTGTTTCCAGAAATCTCAGCTATGCTGCAGGCACAGAGTTTTAGATTTCTCGGTTTTAGTCAAGGGTGCGGCGGCAACTTGGTGCATCCTGTGCTTTGAAAGAGACTTAGATGAGCATCATTTGAGGTTTCACGTTCGTTTGAGGGAGTATTGTTCTTCATTTGTCTAGACAATCAAATACCACTCTATGCCCAGCTGTCTACAAAGATTGCTGCGTTCTATACGTGAAGTGCATGTCCTCCTCACTCACCTCTAGCGCGTTGTCCTGCGAAGGCAGGGAGCCGTTGGTTTCCAATGAACCCATGGACAGTACATGAGACCAAAATGGGCATGTAGAACTTATAGGGTGCAGAATAGGCATATATATGTGGACCCCGACTTACACTAAGTCGGCCAAGCCATGGGCCCAGGGTTCATGGTTGTTCAGGGTTCTCTGGACATGCCGGACAGGGAGTCCACACACCCTTAATCCCTGCAATGCGTGGCGGACCTCTTGCGACGGACACTCGGCACTCCACTGGGCACGGCGTTCTACCCAAGAATGGTGTATAGAGGATAAAATGCAGTAAAAAGGGTTGCTTGCATCTTTTGACGGTTTTGATTTTGGATTCATGGGGGGTTGCCCACGAGGCGCCCATGAGGTTGAGAATATCCATTTGTGGGCTTTCATCATGTTAGGCATCCCAAGAATACTTGAGGATCATGACACGGGGCATTGCGCAGGAATTCAGGATTGTTCGCGCTTGTGGAACCGTATGATCAGATGTTCGTTCCTCAAAACCCCAGCACGCTTGAACGAAAGTCCTTGCATACGTCTAGGGCCCTAAACCCTAGACCCTGTACATCACTTAGGCTCTCAAGGTCGCACAGACATACCCCAGGGCCCTAAACTCTAAACCCTAGACCCTAAATCCTAAACCCAAAACCCTGACTTCAAATCCTAAACCCGCAACCCTAAATCCTAAATTGAGCTCCCGCCAACCAGGGCTTAACAAACCAGGGTGTA